GGTTTATGAAAGAAACTTCAAAGGTTGGTGTAATGTTGAAAAATTGTGTTCAAATACTAACTATATGAGAATTATTATAACATTTCGAACATGCCCCCTTTTTCACGTAATTGAAAAATTTATTTTCACCAACGCTTACTAGCCTAAATACCTTCTTTTTGTGTATTGTGTCAAATTTACGTAAAGAATAGTCAGACCCGAATGTATATATGAAACCTACCACACTTCCCAACATTGGACATCACCAATCAATATCTCTTGCTTGTATCCAATGTTCAAGTTCTTCCCAATAACAGTCAAATTCGTTCCGCCTGAATAAGGTCCATGAGAAGGAGTAACTCCACTCAGTTCTGGAATCTAGGAAGAAATTTGATTTTGAAAACAATAAAAAATCTCATTCTACTTAAACTCTTCAAAAAAAATCGTTTTCAATGTTAGCATTAGTAAGAATGAAAAAACATTTTATTAAGCTCTTAAAACCAGATGACTGCGCATTAATATTTCAGAGAAATTAAACAATACAATAAAAAGAAAGTTTAATACACAACCTACCTTGTAACTAAAGCTATCCGTACTTGTAATGTTCCCGATCATATCAAACTGCACGAGTGTCCACGTGGCATCTTTCACATACATTTTAATTTCACTGTCCATTGGGTCAGTAACAGCCCCAGTTTTACATTGGACCCTGGTAATGAAAAAACAACAACAAGCCTATCACACCTTACTTTAAAAACCTATGTATCCAGTATTAGAGAATGTGAAATATGGGATTTAAATAAGCAATCGGCAGTATACGGAACGAATATTTTAAATCAGCCAAATCCTCTTTCAATAGCGTCCTTACTTTAAATAACTTATATCATGTTTGAAAAACAAAATTAATATGAAAAGTACTATACCATTTAGTTTAAAGCTATTTTTGAGATGGTAGGTTAACAAACCCAGAGATTGGTTACAATGGAATTAGTAATTTTGAGCGAATAAACAGCTATTATCTTAGTGGGGTCCAAGGTCATAAAGATGTTGTTGTTGTTTTTTAAATCTGACTCGGTAATAATTTCCAGATTATGTAAATGCACGCAAATTAGCTACCATTTCTTTGTGAATGTCGGGATTGTTAGAGAACTATGGTAAAAAAAATAGACAGCAATCTGTCTTGATCAGTCTTGTAAGATACCCAAAACTTTGGCCAGTAGCCACAAGAGTGAGAGAAACATTAAAGAGAATGAAACCATTAAATTATGTAAAATTAAATAATACGATATATCGAAAATGGGAATTTTCAATGTACTCCACTTGAATGAAAAAACTCAAATAGCAGTGAGTTTAAACTAACAAAACCATAACCATAACCCAAGGCAATCGAGGCTAATGACCTTGTTCACAAAGACAGAGAACCTTCCGACCTAAAATAGTCACTGTGATGTTGCTAAGCATATCTCCTGCTACTGTTAACAAAATAACGAGGGTATACCTCAAAGTGAACAGCTATTTTTATAAGAAATACAGCCGAAGAAAGTCGAATCATATCAATACCGTTTGACTATATACCTGTTAAGTTCTAATGGAGATTTTTGTGTTTCTGTTCTACTTAAGTATGCACTTATAACTCGAAGAACAAAGGTGTTCGCCGGTTTATGGAAAATTGTACTGGAGGAGTGGATAAGCATTGACATGGCTGCTCTCCAAAAAAGGCCATATTTCAAGGGAAGCATCGCAGGAGAGCTTTAGAATATCCATAATGTCACTCTCTTTTCCTTTTTAAATCAGTGAACTTACGATAATAATTTAGGGATTATTCTATTGGTTCTGTACTATAAATGCATATTTACATTGAAAAAACACAATATTACAAACTTTGAAAAATGAGAAAAAAATATTGAACACCATTTCTCCAGTATCAAGAATATTTCCTGGATCTGTCAACAGTAGCCTTTGTCCCCCCCCCCTCCTCAGGTTGGCCTCCAGTGGTACAGCGGCATGTCTGCGGATTTATACTGCTAAAAACCGGGTTTTGATACCCACGGTGGGCAGAGCACAGATAGCCCTTTGTGTAGCTTTGTGCTTTATAACAAATAACAACAAGAACAATCCTCAGGTTGCTTAAGGTTTAAGGTTTTAACACTAATATTTTCGGTTCAATTCCTGCAATGCGTGCAGATTTGCGCTTAAAGTAAAACAAGACAAACAAAACTCAGTTGATTTTCTCTAATCTTCCCAAAAAGATATAAAACGGCTCACACTTGATAAATTTAAGTTTATTAAACCGTGACAATTATGTACCCCAACAAAGCATTATTAACTAAATAATTCCTGAGTTATCTGCTATGTCCACTGCGGGGAATCGAACCCCGGATTTTTGTTTGTAATTCTGTAAACGTACCGCTGACCCACCATGGAACTCACGCTAAGCAACTGACAGTCTAAAGAGTGTGTGTGTGTGTGTGTGTGAGCTGGGGGGGGGATTTGTGATATTGTATGAAACTGAATCCTGCTGAGAGATAAAGAAACGATAACATAACTTCTACGTTATGTGCCTAATATTTCTTCGGATTTATTTCTTTTTAAAATGTTTTTGAATTTTTTCAAAAGCATTAAACAGTGAGTAGTTAAACAGAACCAACATACATTGTTTTATTCCAGTGAACCAAAGAGCAGCTTACATCGCCTACAAGAACAGAAATCTCTGCGTTGCCTCCACTCTGAGCTGAACCAAAGTTGTCTCCTTTTATTGTAAGCAACGTACCTCCCTCCAACGGCCCTGTTTTAGGTGAAAACTGATAAAAAAAAAGTAAATGTAAAAAATAGCTTATTTATAAAAAAGATCAAAGTTTTAAAATTTAATTTCGCAAATGAAAAGAAACAGGAGTTTTATTCCACCACGATTTATATCGGCTTTTGTTATTACATGGCTACTAATGTGCTTATTCCAAATCCTTTTAATATAATGTACTCAGCCCTTTGTATTTTACAGCTACCGAGTTTTGTTTATCACAGTCGATAAATAACAATTTTGACATAAATTGAAGCTCTGAGCTGATTTTTGGCCAAAGATCGATTCTAACATTAAAAAGTTTTTTTTTCAATTTTTTTGCTTCTGAAACTTGTTTTCGTTAGTTTTTCTATGTTCGGGATAAAAAAAAGCACGCATCCGAATTACATTGTAATATTGTTTGGTGATTTGGTAGGTATTTTGATACCACCAAAGTTTGATTGCTTTTCAGAAGAGCGTGTAACAGCCCTTTTCAATACAAAATATTCATACAATAAGATGATATTTATTATTTTCAAGACGGGAATATACCGCGTTCTTAATGTTATTATAAAACAAAGTAACGTGGATCAACTTGAGGCACCAGGATCATCTAGAAAGAAACCTGCAAGAAGTCGCATCCCAGCCATGATAAGTAAAGTGCAGAGTCTTGCAACAGGTGAGGATCGACGAACACAAAGGTCAGTGGCAAAAGACGTTCAAGTGCCCCAGGCAACACAATCAAGAAGGATCTTCGTCCGGAAAAGTCACGTGTACACAATTTGTTTCCATGAAATGCCCGTTAAACCGTCGCATGCCTCAAGTAGCTGGAATAGGAAACGGATATTTATGTTATATGAAAAAATATTGGTCAAATCGCCCGACGAAGCATCTATGAATTTCTATGCTATTGGACAATTTAAACAGGTGCTGGAAAAACCGTTGTCCTCATTTACCAGATGCATGCTAGGAGCAATGTTGTGCTTTGACTCATGGTAGCCTTAAAATGGAGACATTTACAATAGAAATTACGCTGTAGTGCTATTGTCAAGATTCACGGTCGTCAAACAAATTATGTCCAGATGTGGCGACACGGACTGTAACGACGTGGTGGGCTGAAAAAGCGTTTGAACATACATATTTAACCACTGTAAATCTGAATATGTTAAATGAAAATGTGTTTAGGAAGCTACACTTGCCTCTTGAATTATTGGAGGACAGTTAACGTGGGATAAAACTGACGAGTTGTCACATTCGTCCCGATGAGCACAGTACGATCCACACCAGCCACAGTGCAAGGGTTCATCTACTGTAAGACAGGTTGCACAATCGGTGTATAGCGAACATGAACCTAATGGAAATTTTACTACCTGAATAGAAATAACAAAATACACGTCATATTAAACAAAGGTTAAAATCACTAAGTTATTAGTTATGATTTGTATACTAATTAAATTATTCATATACACAAGTTTTTTGTTGTTGTTTTTTTTCAATTAAACCATACAAAACACAAGTGTATTTTTCACTTTCTTAAAAAAAAAAAAGAGTCTATGCGTCAATGCTGGCGATATCCTAGGGCATTGTACAAAAATCTCATATATTTGTTCTAAATTTTATGTTTAAACATATTTTACGTAACGTTAAATTTCTATATACGTATTTTGCCTGAAATGAAACCTTTCCAACTGCTTACAAATTTTAAAAGGTTACCCTTATCGCAATACCTGATATTGTATTTTTTAATTGAATACTCTATCACTGGGAACTAGTAACTCGAATTTTATAAGCTGTTCTTCACTCTCTTACATAATAGATAGATTTATACTTCATTGGAGCTGAGATTAGTTTTTTGTCGCGTCATCATCAGAGTATCTGAATGATCATTAGTCATAAGAATAACTTGAAAGCTAACTCTAGCTTCAGATCCGTTATTTCCCAGATATATTCCTTGAATAATGACAAAAACTGTTTCATCTTTATCATTTACTAAGTTGACCACCAAGTGTATATTTGAAGGGATCAATATGGTAATGAACACATAGTTTTTACTGGTCCAAAAATAATTTAGATTTTACGAAGAATATTAATATCTCAATAAAGTGTGAATTATGGCGACTGCGTGTTTTCTTAGAAATAATGATTACTCACTCAACTTTAGAAGCAATCGCCAAATGTGAAAATAAGAAATTACGCAACTTTCAGCCCCAAGGAAAGGGAAGTAAAGTGTACCGGAAATACTGAGAATTGAGATCCGTAATACAGTAAATATTTACTTCACATATAGGGCATTATTCTATATATACATATGTATGTCTGTGTGTGTAATAAAGGTGTAGTTAACGTAATTAAATTAAGCCCAATAAATCGTCTGTTTAACAAGCGCAAAAGTAAACATTGGCTACCTGCGTGGTGTCCGTACCTCGGGGATTGAGCCTCAAATCCTAGAATTATACGCACTCGAGCTTAGCGCTGAGCCACCGGGATACTTTCATTAGAAATACCTTGTTATTAGTAATACCACGTCAGAAACTAATTTATTGGCACTATTAATAGCCGGCGTTGGATAACGTGTAAACTGGAACAGAACGTATGAAACAAATGTGTGTAGATAGATAAGTAGAGATTTGTTTATTTAAGCACAAATCTACACAATGAGCTACCTGTTCCCTGCCCACCGTGGCTATCGAGATCCAATTTGTAGCTTTATAAGCTCTCAGACTTACCGCTGAGCTATCGAAAGGCAATATATAGTTTGTTTGATTTTGCGTAAGGCTACACGAGGACTATCTGCACTAGCCGTCACTAATTTGGCAGTGATAGACTAGAGGGAAGGCTGCTAGTCAACACCCCCATCGCCAACTCTTGGGCTATTCTTGGGGTTGACCTTCACATAATAACGCACCCACGGCTGAAAGGGCGAGCATGTTCAGTGACGGGAATCGAACTCGCGACCTGTAGATTGTGAGTCAAGCGCCCTAAGCTCTAGACCCAATAGACAGAGAGAGCTTAATTTTCACCACTGTTAGGTTTTGTCTACGACAAACTGTAAACACCACTGCGATACTTTCATACGTGGATGTGAGCATCTGATACTATACAAATTACTCAGGATAAAAAAAATATATATCAATAAAAAACACGTTACGAGTTTTTGTATTTTGGGTACGTATATGCTTATGTAACAACTTCAGTAGCTGAGTCATAGTCGCAAGATGAGCACGTGAGTAGTACAGCTAAAGGTTGATAAATAACGTAAAAAACATGGTGGTATAAATTGTGAAAAATAGTTCCTCACTATCCCACCACAACTCATACACACACACGTAGATGACTCATCCACTTATGACCAAGACTTCTTCACATAATGGTTTATTTCTTTATGTCTACAATTTAACTTTCTTCGGATACGTCTCCGGTGGGACAACAGTTAGTTTACAGACTCAGAACGCTAAAATCCGGAGTTCAATTCTCCGCGGTGGACAAAAGAGATAGCTCAAAGTGGCTTTGCTCTAAACCAAACAAACTTCGGATTCATGCAAGATCCTCTTACAAGCAACAGAAATCGGGCCAAATTTAGTGACAAGCAACGCTTATAGAAAAGATTTAAGCTGAGTTCGATGCGTTCATTCAAATCTCTCAATTTATCATTCATCATTCCGACGTTAGACTTTCTCATTGGGCATGATTTTGGTAACTGACTAGATATATGATGAAAAATATGGTTAGAAAATAAACGTTTATAGATATCTTAGATGGGTAATGAAGAAAAATTTATTATAAATATACATCGTCAGTTATATTTAAAAGATTATGTCATCATCAGGGACAAGAAGTTTACAGAGATACATGAATATATATATACAATATGGATAGAAGAGGTCACATGACCGGAGATTGCTTTACAGCTTAGTAAAGATATCTTGGTACCTAGGAGTGTTGGTGTTTTGTTCAATTAAGATAGCTTCCTATGTTATGCGTTCGTTGATATTTGGTTCTTTGTTTAAAATTACAGTGCTTTGTATAGATTTACTGTGGTTTTTTTTTAATTAAAATGGTGGTAAACACGAGAGGTTTTTTTTTAATATGTTCGGTGGATCTGGTTTCTAATTTTCTTCCGGTTTCTCCGATGTAAAATTCTGGACAGTTATTGCACGTTATTTTATAAGTGACCTGATGATGACATAATACTGTCGAAATGTTGTACATTTATAATAAAGATTGAAATAAACAAAACCTTGTAAATTCTTATCATCAAATTAATATTTTTACAATAAAATGGTTTACTTGGATCCACTTGTTTTATTTCCCCTACTGTTAATTTTCATTTTAAATTTATACAGTTACCAAGTGCTGTTACGATAAATGGTTGTCTAAGCACCTGAGCAGTGTGGGGTGGGGAGTGACAAACGACTGTGTGTGTGTGTGTTTGGCCTGCGCCGTAGAAAAAGCAACTTACAACTTAGTTGTTTTTGTTTACATTTTCTGGCAAACACACCTTGCTTATAAACAATGTCGTGTATTTTATATAAACGTGTAGATTTTTATTAGTCAGTTATTACATCAGTACTTAGTTTCTCTCTTTCAACGCATTGCCGAAGAAATGGATTCTGACTTGAAGGAAATGAGTTAAGGAACGAGCGCCGATGGAGAGATTTTTGGGAGCGGAATTACTTATTTTGAAATCCAGAAATGATTTCTTGCTATTTTCTACATTTCTTAACTTTCTTAATGGAGCAGTATTTATTTTGTTTTATAGGTGGATTACATTTCCTGTTATAAGTTTCAAAGCTGCCATTGGTATTTATTAAGTCAAGGATTCTACCAAAGATTTATCGCTGGTGTGGTTAGAGCACACACCGTTGGTTAACCTGAGCTAGTGTGGTTAGAACGTATACTACGTTAGATTGAGCTAGTTTGATTAAAGCAAATACTATTGGTTAACATGAGCTAGTTTGATTAAAGCAAACATTATTGGTTAACATGAGTTAGTTTGGTTAGAGCACACACCGTTGGTTAACCTGAGCTAGTGTGGTTAGAATGTATACTACGTTAGATTGAGCTAGTTTGATTAAAGCAAATACTATTGGTTAACATGAGCTAGTTTCATTAAAGCAAACACTATTGGTTAACATGAGCTAGTTTGGTTAGAGCACACACTATTGGTTAACATGAGCTAGTTTGGTTAGAGCACACACTATTGGTTAACATGAGCTAGTTTGGTTAGGGTACACACTATTGGTTAACATGAGCTAGTTTCGTTAGAGCACATACTGTTGGTTAACCTGAACTAGTTTGGTTAAAGCAAATACTATTGGTTAACATGAGCTAGTTTGATTAAAGCAAACATTATTGGTTAACATGAGCTAGTTTGGTTAGAGCACACACTATTGGTTAACATGAGCTAGTTTGGTTAGGGTACACACTATTGGTTAACATGAGCTAGTTTCGTTAGAGCACACACTGTTGGTTAACCTGAACTAGTTTGGTTAGAGCACACAATATGTTGATTACCACGGATTCAGCACAAAAGGACTAACATTCAACGCTAAAAGGAATTCGAGTATGAAATTATTACCTTTTGAGGTCAGGCTTGCTTCTTTTTTTATTGTTTTATAATACACATAATATCCTTACAGCCCGTCATTCCTACAGCACATGACAAAAATCGTGGTTCCTACACTACATGTCACGTGCTGTATGAATGACGGGTTGAGACCCGGGTTCCTACACTTATGTCATGTGCTTTAGGAATGACGGGCTGAGACCGGGTTTCTTACATTCATGTCACGTGCTGTATCAATGAGGGGCTGAGACCGGGGTTCCTACATTCATGTCACGTGCCGTATGAATGAGGGGCTGAGACCGGGTTTTCCTACATTCATGTCACATGCTGTAAGAGTGACGGGTTGAGACCCGGGTTCCTACACTTATGTCATGTGCTGTAGGAATGACGGGCTGAGATCGGGTTTCTTACATTCATGTCACGTGCTGTAAGAGTGACGGGTTCCTATATTTATGTCATGTGCTGTAGGAGTAACGGGTTAAGACCCAATTTCCTACAATTATGTGCTTTATGAGTGACGGGTTGAGAGCCGGGTTTCTACACTTATCTCGTGTGTTGTTCTCCTACAAAAAGCACAGTTAATGAAGCACGTTACTCTAATAAATTTAGACAACAACAACAACAAAAAGTAGATATCAATGTTCTCTACACTCTTACTAAATGTAATTATTTTACAACGTTTCGGCCTTAGGCCCACATCAGGCAAAGAACAAAATACAAATTGGAATTTGAACATAATTAGTTGTATTTTGTTCTTTGCCTGAAGTGGGCCAAAACTATACATTACCCTAGTCCAGTTGACTACATATCAAATATTACACAAAGATCTTAACTAAGATACATTGTAGTAACATAACAACTACAAACATAATTTTTTCAGACATTTCTTTGGTGTTTGATGAAAATATATTTTTCTTCTAAGTAAACAATGACAACAAGATCTAAAGATCATCTCTACAAATGGGGTTCTCGTTAGGAATATCCCTTTACAGCCACACTGGTCGCATTTATTTTGATCATATTTGGAAACAGGTGTCACTTAACATGGTGAACACTGAACACCACGTCAGCATAACAAAATCAGGTGGCGTTGTCACCAGTAAAATGTTCTTAACATTATACCTGCTGTAGTTCTTTATCTTATTAAAACAGAGTTTCGCTTTAATGCTTTTACTTTGTTTCTAAGCAAACAATTACGAAAGAAATAAAACATCCATAAATAATGAAATTACGAAAGAAAGTAAAACATTCATAATTAATAAACTTACGAAAATAAGTAAAGCATTCATAATTAATAAACTTATAGAAAGAAAGTAAAACATTCTTATTAATAAAATTATTCATCGTTTCATCCATCATTAGTGCAATATGAAAATACAAGTTAGGCTAAAGACATGATTGTTTTACAATATTTATCAAACTTTTTTGAAAAGTACTTCTGAAAGCTAACTAACAATCTTTGAAACTTGATACCAAAAATTATATTCGACACTCGTTCTCTATAAAAAAAAAAAAAAAATCAATAACAAATGTGAAGAAATCACGTGCTTCTCCTCGAGTTTAGTATAAACAAGGCTATATTATATTTCAAATTCCTACAGAAGACGTTATGTAAAAGACCACTTTAATTGTTGAAAAATAACGATCAGAGACAAGGGAGAAAAAAAAAGGGGGTTGAAGATTTGAAAGATACGGCTGTGTCCCCCTTTTGGCCAATAACGCAGAAGTAATTCCCCACAGATAACCTTTATTTCAACGTGTAATGCAATGGTAAGATAAATATAACGTGGATATCTTTATTATATTAAAACCAAAATGCAGTTAACATAATCACAATGATTACAATTAATGCAGTGTTTGAACACTAGGGTAAATGTTTTGTTTCTTTGAAGTTAAGCACAAAGCTACACAATGGGCTATCTGTGCACTGCTCACCACGGGTATCGAAACCCGGTTTCTAGCGTTGTAAGTCCGCAGCCATACCGCTGTGCAACTGGGGGGCCTAGGGTAAAGGCGAGCCCATAACCATGTACTCACCGATTAAATTGTATCAAATCTATGCATAATAAGCATGTAAAATAAGTTTTACTATTTTGGCTGTTTACAAACCAGCTAACAATATTTAACATTTCGGCGTTTTTTTTTCTTTTTTCAGAAATGCTTGTGACGATGATGATTTTATAAACACTGCCATATTATTGAGAGTAATTGCATTTTAGAATATGTTTGATACAAACCAATGATGCACCACCAAAATTACAGTGGAAATAAAATACACAGTTATCCTTTATGTTTAGGCCAAGTGGTTAGGGCGCGCGACTCGCAATCTGTGGGGCGTTATAAAGTGACGGTCAATCCCACTATTCGTTAGTAAAAAAAGTAGCCCAAGAGTTAGCGGTAGATAGTGATGACTAGCAGCCTTCCCTCTAGTCTCCCCCCCCTCCCCAGTTAGGGACGGCTAGCGCAAATAGCCCTCGTGTAACTTTGTGCGAATTATATAACAAACAAACAAATCTTTGTTTACCAACAGTGTAGCCCCCTGGTGGCTCAGCGGTAACACTTAAAATCGGGTTTCAATAGCCATGATGGGCAGAACACAAATAACCCATTGAGTAGTTTTGTGCTTAACAATAAACTATCTAACACACGGTGTAAATGGTATATAATTTAGAACTTAAAACTGGTGCTACAGAAAGAAAAATACGAACTTTACTGCCACTAGATGCTGTACTATTATTTTCGTACTTCCCTGTACAATACATATCATTCTATTCCCAACAAGTAAAACAAGTATTTGCAGCAGGTAAAAAAATCCGAAATATTGATCACAAACTAACAGTAACAAAAAACATGTACTATTACGAAGATCTTCTTTCACAGTGTTTTCGAGAATTCTATTTACCACTAAACCTACTCAACATGTAAAACTTTGCTTGATATCAAAGATGAAGCCTTTTATAAAAACTTGTGGAACTTATAAATAATAAAAAACGAAGATTGTCCATAAAATAATAGCCTTGTTTTTTTTAATAAGAAGATATTAATTCAGTGCTGAAGAATAAATGACATAGCCATACTATTAAACAGAGTGAGTGTGGTTTGTTTGGAAATTCGCGCAAAGCTACACGAGGGCTATCTGCGCTAGTCGTCCCTAATTCCGGGGTGAAAGACTAGAGGGAAGGCTGCTAGTCATCATTACCTACCGCCAACTCTTGGGCTACTCTTTTACCAACGAATAGTGGGATTAACCGTCACATTTTAACGCCCCCACGGCTGAAAGGGCGAGCATGTTAGGTGGGACGGGGATTCGAACTCGCGACTGTGTGTCGAGCGCCCTAACCACCTGGCCATGCCGGACCGCAAGCAGAGTGAGAGAACAAAGAAAAATGTCTACTTAGTGCTGTATATTTGCTACCAGGCTTTACCGGTGAACGGAGTGACAGAAAGAAAAAAGAAACATCCTACTACATCTTCTTACTCCTATATATAACAACCAGGTTTTACTGGTGAATGGAGTGAGAAAGAAAAAGAAAACATCTACTACATCTTCTTACTCCTATATATAACAACCAGGTTTTACTGGTGAACGGAGTGACAGAAAGAAAAAGAAAACATCTAAGAAGATGTAGTAGATGTTTTCTTTTTCTTTCTCTCACTCGGTTCACCAATAAAACCTGGAAAACCTGGTTGTTATATATAGGAGACTGGTGAATGGAGTGAGAGAAAGAAAACATCTACTACATGTTCTTACTCCTATATGTAACAACCAGGTTTTATTGGTGAATGGCGTGAGAGAAAGGTAAATACATAATTCATTCGTGTGTATTATAGCTAACAGATAAATACAACATCTTCCCACTCTTGCAGCAAAACGTTGTCTTTCAATTTACTTAACATATGAAAAGTAACGAAACCGTAAACTTAACTTACCTTGTTCCCAGTTAGAAGGTACAAGTTCTCATGGGTAACATCGAATGAATTAGATCTCCGAATTGCTTTATCCATAGAATTAGGGTCTGCAATGTTGTGTGTAACAAGAGGCCTGTCGCTTATTTGTTTTTCTAACTTAACCTGCGAAAAAAACATAAAAATTATTTACGAATATAGTGTGATATTTAAAAATTTTTATTATATATTTTTACTTTTAAAATATTAGGAAGTTTACCTATAGAAAAGAAGTAAACGAAGGTTCTTTTTGGCTTATACAAGTTTTCTTTTAACCTTTTCTTTAGCCGAGATTTTTCACTGATAAGCGAAAGCAGCCTCCATACTAGTATCCTGACGATTTCAATTTAAATATACAAGGATATTTCATCAATTATCTCCTTGTCGAAAGTTTTCTATTAGGCGATTAGTTTCTATTGTGCGAAGTTGAAAAGCATATTTTACATTATGTGACTTATAGAAAAACTGAAACCACCGTGCGATTTCTTTAGATACATTTATCCATGTTCGATCCCACCTCCTATCCTCTACCCATCTATACACCTGATATTTTTTACAAAGCTTTCACTTGGTAAAAATAAATAAATTTCTTTTGAATGGTTAAGACTGCTGGCCAATAGTTCAAGAATTTAAAACAGCTCGTGAAGCGAAATTAACTCGTAATCTATAAAGGTAACCAAGAAATTACGGGTTCAACAATAGACTCAAAGCAACAATAGACTCATAGAAGGTTTTCTTTTTACACGGTTTTATCACGTGCAATTGTACCTGTCTGTGTGTTTGTTCTAGCAAAGCCACATCGGGCTATCTGCTGTGTCCACCGAGAGGAATCGAACTCCTGATTTTAGTGTTGTAAATCCGAAGACTTACCGCTGTACCTGTTTAACAATAACTTCAACAGATATGGTAATAAAAGAATTCTGAGGGCAGAATATCGAATGTTAGTTCGAACTCTCACCTACGTCAGTTTCTTGATGTTGTATGAGCTGGATACAACATAATGAAATTTAAATATATATTCGTATTTCTGGGATGCAACTAAAGAAGCATATCACAAGTATGCACACAAAATATATGACGTACTTATAAATATACATTTTTGTAACAGATTTAAAAGAAAAACAGAGAGAAAGAAAAGAAGATGGTTAAAACAGAGCGTTTGTTTCTCCTTATAGATTATGTTGTCGTTGTTGTTTTTTTTAAATATCTGTAGATATTCAAAGTTAGGATATTCTGACATATCATTTTTCACTGCAGGCAATAAACACATTAGCTGTACAGAAAGGGTAGATAATATACAGACCTTACTTGAAACATTTATAAGCTGGCTATAGATGAGACTTTTTTCTTTTGCACTGATAACAGTATATGGTGTAATATAATTCTGAGGAGTCTAGAAATAAATATATATATATATAATGTATATATGAAAAAATGGATCTTGTAAGACTTCAGAGCCTGAGACAGAAGCCAGAACTTTCAAATGAATATTTTATGTGATTTATAATCAAACAAGTAGTGCACACAGTTTTTGCATGCAGTCCGAACACTCTTCATTGGTGTCAATTGGATGCTAAGTCGTGTTTAAAACATCTCACTAGACAGAAGCATGCTTGAATGAGGCTCGTTGTACTGATTGCACGCCCTACTTAAACTTGGTTGTGTTATGTCTCCATCTGAAGATAAATCCAGAGTTTCTGTACACGTTTTATTACTTAGCTAAGCCTGCTTATCAACTTTCAAAGTTTTACAATTTCAATGAGGCTAAATCCCTTTTTTTTTCTATCTGAGATTAAGTTAAGCCATCGGATAAAACGACATTCCTCTCTTGTAAAAGCTCAATATTTATTTTCTGTCTAGTCCAATTAGGTTTCAGCTTTATTGAAAAAACGTACGTAAATAGAAAAGCAGCGACTTGCAATGCACGGTTAACAATAGAGAAAAGCAGTGACATGCAATGCACGGTTAACAATAGAGAAAAACAGTGACATGCAATGCACGGTTAACAATAGAGAAAAGCAGTGACATGCAATGCACGGTTAAAAAAAA